AACTGAATAACTATTATGATTGAACGAATCAAGAAATCAATGAAGCCTCAAAGTGAAGGCTCCCCCTGTGAAATAGCTTTGGGGGAAATTGAAAGGCACTGGGGGGTGTTGGCCAACAGGTTTTTGTTAGGTGATTCACTGATTTCCCACTAATTGTTGAAATGTGAGGCCCAAAATTTTAATTCATCTACAAGCAACTACCCTTTGTGAGGGTAGTTCTCAAAGTCCAATTACAAATACGGTTTGGGATGTCACAATGTAAGTGATATACCAATACCCTGTGATGATCTGGATGTGATTACCACAGGGGGCTGTCCTCTCCTTAGAATGAGGACACACTTAGTATGATGTGTAGTGTAATCTCACATTACATAGTTATTGCTGGTGTGTGGACATGTGCTCAATAGAGATAATAGCTAGAAATTAGTTAGGACGTATTAAGTCCAGACACTGGACTAAGTGGCTTCTCATGTACCATAATCACACCCACAATATCTGACTTCAGAGTTTAAAAGATGAATCGCTATGTTATTCTGACCAACAAGTTTTACATACAACTCTACAGGTCTAAATCAGAAATAATTGATATTTAAATAGCTGGGTATTGCTTTTGTTTTTAAAAAGCTTCACTTTTGCCCTAGCTAGTTTGTCTCAATGAATAGAGCATTGGCCTGTGGACTGAAGAGTCCCAGGTTCAATTCCAGCCAAGGGCACATGCCTAGGTTGCAGGCTCAATCCCCAGTAGGGGGCATGCAGAAGGCAGCCAATCAATGTTATCTCTCATCTTTGATGTTTCTGTCTCTCTCCCTCTTCCTTCCTCTCTGAAATCAATAAAGAAATCCTATATAATAAAAGACTAATATGCAAATAGACCGAATGGCAGAACGACCTGAGAAACAACCAGTTGCTATGATGTGCACTAACTATCTGGGGACAGATGCTCAACACAGGAGCTGTCCCCAGCCTGTAGGCCCCAGGCCAGCCAAGGCGGGTGCCAGTGAGGGGATCCCTGATTGCCCCACAGACCAGCCCTGATCACCAGCCAGGCCTAGGAACCCTACCTGTGCATGAATTTTTATGCACTGGCCTCTAGTGTGTGTGTGTGTGTTTGTGTGTGTGTCAATTTTTTTTTTAAAAAAAGCTTCACTTTTTCTATCTGTTGAAAACCTTCTAGCAAATGGAGGCAACTATTTCTACAACTGGTCTTGAAGCTGTTCCCTATACCTATGCGTAGAATTAGGTATTCCTATCTGTGCCTTCTTCATTATTATACTCATTTGGCCCCCAAAACACTCCAAGAATGATGTGCTCTGAACTCTTATTTGACTCTACAGTTTGGTATATGATTCTCTCTGACTGAACTGAATAAGATATAGCTGTGTAAGAGGCTGAACCCAGCATCTAGCCAAAGATCCATAAAGATTTTTGAGAAATGAGGAAGTCTTAAATCCTTTCCCAAGAAGAACAGCAATGTGCTCACTAAGGACTCCCTATCAGTTCTAAAGGTCACTTCCAACGGGATCTGACAAGTTTTCTCCGTATGACAGAATCACACACTGGAAAAAGAACAGGAAAACGGGAAGGCTGGTGATGAGTTTGCTTTTTCACCTAAAGGGACCTGAAGATCTGGGGACTTGATAGGTAGGGGTCTGGCTTCCTGCTCTTCCAAAAAACAGATGTGTCCTCGGGGGTTGACCTGACTTTTCAATGACCTCTAGTCCTCCTTCCCTTTTGCACTCCATCTCCCTTTCTTCCTTTTCTATTAGTAATATACACTGAATGGCCAGATTATTATGATTATGATGATCTCTGAACACATAATAATCTGGCCATTCAGTGTGCGTGTGTGTATCCCGGTGCATGAATTCATGCATGGGTGGAGCCCAGCCAGCCTGGTCAGGGGGAGGGGACATGGGTGGTTGGCCGGCCTGCCTGCTGGTCAAACTCCTGGTGGAGGGGACGATTTGCATATTAGCCTTTTATTACCCTGTTTCCCCGAAAATAAGACAGTGTCTTATATTAATTTTTGCTCCCAAAGATGTGCTAGGTCTTATTTTCAGGGGATGTCTTATTTTTCCATGAAGAAGAATACGGTACACATTTATTGTTAAACGAAAATAAAAGAAATTTATTACCTGTATATGGTACGGTAGTACGGTAGTTGTCAACACAAACCAGACAAACTGTGAATCCTACAGTATCAAGAATTTACTCATTTATTCAATGACAATCATGTCATCATCTTCTGGAACATCATCATAACAATCCAATTCCTAAATTTCCTGGTGAATTTTTTGTGACTCCATTTCTTTCAGAATCAGTGGACCAAATCTCTCATGTTTAGTCTAGGGGGACCTTATTTTCGGGGATGCCTTATATTTCACTCAGCAGGAAATCTGTAAGTAGGTCTTATTTTCGGAGGATGTCTTATTTTCGGGGAAACACGGTATATGGGATATACACTGAGTGACCAGATTATTATGTGTTCAGAGATCATAATAATCTGGCCACTCAGTGTACATGGGAAGGTGTGTGTGTAGTCTGCTGGGTTCACTGGAGGAAGGTAGGGTTTGATATCTGTAATTGTAATGACTGTTAACTTTCCAGTGGTCAGCAATGGTCAGGAGAAGGCCATTCATTCACCCACTAAATGCTAAGGGGACCCGGCATCTATAAATCCGCAGTTCCAAGGACTGTAATTCTTTTGACTCCCAGAGTCAAAAGATCTGGATAAGAAGAAACTTCGAAGTAGCAAACAAGCAAGTGTGTGTGTGTGTGTGTGTGTGTGTTGACTATATGTCCTTCAGACCTTTTCTTCAAGAGCCGGAAACTGATTCTCACTACTACTGGGAATACTAGCTGCTGGCTGTTGAGACCCATAGCTGATCCCTGTCTAGGACTTACCCTCCACAAAAGGGAGTTGCCTCCCCACAAGATTACTCAGCCCTTCTCTGAGGCAAATCCAATGATGCCAAGTAAAGATGAGGCCCTTTGCCTGGATATGGGACAAAAAATGAGACAACCCCCTCAGGGCACCCCAGCTCCAGCACTTCTGCAGGCTCAGCCTCTCCCCCCACCCTGCTCCCTCAGAGAGTGGGCCTCTGGAATCACCTCAAGAGCTCCTACGGCAAGTAATCAGAAGAGCTAGCATTCACATCCAGGTCCATTCGACTCTCAGCTCTAGGTTTCTATCGACTTTATCAAGGCCTTGACTTTGATTTCCAAAATACAAATCCTAACACCTTAGAAAGACATACAAAGTCTCTTTTTATATGACTCTCCTTTCCCAGGACATGCCATGCTCTTGCTTCCCCGGGAACAGGTCACTGTCCTTGTCTGCTTGACCACAACCTCCTTCTCCTGCAGACCTCACCGCAAGGGTGTCCTTCCCTGGGAAGACCTTCCTTCCAAGCTCTGCAGTCGAGCATCCCTTTAGGAGGGGAACTGTTCATGATGGTAATGGGTTCCCTGCAGGCAGGGACATGTCTTTGAACTCTGCTTCCCCAGCCAGACATATTAAAGATGTTTAATTAAACGGATAAATAAATGGGCTCCATTGAGGTGCTGGTTCCAGAGGCCGTGGCTGAATGGTTGCCAGCACCCCCATGATGGCAACGCATACAGCGCCACCCAAATCTGGACACACTGTGACTTCCTTGAACGCGAGGACTAGTGTTTTCTTCATCTATAGAGCCTCTCCAAGACCTCACGCTATCTCCTGCTCCTAGAAGATGCTCAAAAACAAAAACAGAAACCAAACATTGACCGCATGAGGTCTTGGCTGAAAGGGCTGATGCAGGAGAAATCTCCTTCACGCTCATGTCTCCGTCCAAACTACTTGTTTGGAAATCTCTACTTTTAAAGATGCATGGGATATCCTTGCATTTATCGTCTTGTTAATGAATACGCTCTTAGTTCTAAATTGTTCACATTTCTCCTTTGTTTGAACCCCCCTCCCCCGCCACCCCCCAAATTACTAGAGCAAAAGAGGACTTGGGGTTTGCTAAGTTACATTTCTAGGTCAGAACTGAAACCTACTATGGATACATCAAACATGACTGAGAAGTTTTCCAGCTGGCCTGCCTAACACTGCATCTTTGTTCCACGGCGCCCCTTTGAAACATAAATATGCCATTAATCCACAAGTTGGTTCTCTCCCCACTTTCTGAAACCAATAATGACTTACTGAATAGAGGTACAGACATTGGCATAGGCAACTGTACCCTCGTGCAGAGCTGAGGTGGGGGCAGGGGCAGTCCCCTGTCTTACAAACACACAAACTAAAAGCTAGTCTTCCTGGGCAAGTGGCTGCATTCTCCACAAAGGAAAGAGTCCAATTTTGTGATCGTTCTCCACAAAAATGTCCAAAAAAATTTTTTTTAAATTGCTGAGATCTGGCTGAGACTAGTAGTGATGATAAGAAGACTTAAAAGTGCAGTTTCTTCTTCTTTTTTTAAAAATGGATTTGGGAAGGAGGAAGCTAGCCGGCATGCAAGGGACAGAATTTTCTGTGCCCGGTGGGAATTTTTTTATGTCCCTCCATCACCGCCTCCGCGGCTGTCCCGGTGGGAGTGAGGAGAAACTGTGATAACGTTTTCCCGGGAGGGCAGCACATCTGGTTATCTCGTTCCTCACAAGTCTCCGGTCGGGTGTGAGCGCAGAACACCGTGTCAGAAGCTCTTCCTCTCTGGTTTGGTTTTCCATAGCTGCAGGCGGCCCGCCTCTGAGGGCAGAGGTGCAACTGGCAGACACACCTCATTTCAAAAATGTGCTCACATTGTTTAGTCACGGACTCAGTGATTTTACTCTACACGTATGCTTGCTCAGACTTCACTTTTAATTAGAATAGGAACACATTTATTATTACTTTTTTTTTTTTTTTTTACTTAATATTTATTGAGCCCAGTTAAGGAATCAAGGACCAGCCCCTCCTCAGTTGTGGCTATGGGCAGAGCGGTTATGGGAAAGCACAGTCCGGCAGGATTGACGGGGGAGGGTACCTTTTTAAACATCCTGGTGGAATCCTCGCTGATCTGCATGAAGCGCATAATCACGTTGTTCAGGTAGATATCACTCAAGGTTGCGTGGTCTTTGCTTTCTCTCCTCACTTGGTTCAGGAGCAAATACCAGCAGTTCACTGGAGACAACAAGTTCTGGTCTTTCCTACGAAGTGAAGAAAAGACAGGGTTACCATCCATTTCAAAGCTGCACCTCCCCCCCCCCCCCCCCCCGTGGGGATGTGCCCGCAACCAAGGTACATGTCCTTGACTGGAATCGAACCTGGGACCCTTCAGTCCACAGGCCTATGCTCTATCCACTGAGCCAAACCGGTTAGGATTCATACAAGAAGCAAAATGCATAAATAAGTGGAATAGCAAATTGAGTCTCCCCCACCCCCTCCCTCTTCCTCCCCTCCCTTCCCCTCCCTTCCTGAGGGAAGATCCCAAGGCAAACTAGGAGCCACGAGAGAGGTGGGTTTGGTCACTGTTCTTTTACGCTGGGTGTTGCTCATCCCAGGACACTCCACGGCTTACAGAGCAGCCTCCCAGACTGTGATGGCACAGAGACAGCGATTTCCTAGGCTCGAGGAAAAAACTTGGACCATAATCATGGGTCAAAACCTATTCCCCCAACAAGGGCCATGGGACCCTACCATACAGGGCACTCAGGCAGGCCTTGGGCTTTAAACCCTCCATTGAAGAAAGCAGCTCATGTTTACATAAAAATCTATAGACTACTGTCTCCCAGACTGTGGTTTGCCCCGGCACACAAAGTCTGCTTTGAGTGTTCAGGCTGTTGTTGGAAAAGCGATTTGGCTAGGTATGCTTTCCATGGAACATAAATGTGAGGGTGATTTATTAATCCCCTGATACAGAACCTCCAGCCTCCCCGAAAGAGCCAGAACTTTGTAGTGTTGTCTCAAGGCTCGTGAAAAGAACCACGAAGTTTGCTGGCATGTAGCTTGTCACACGTCCTGTTTCAACAGCTTCAGATTTCTAACTCCTCCTTGTTTATTCTAGATAATAAAGCTAAAAGTAAAACATACACCATGAAAGAAGACTTGTAAAAAAATCTTAAAGAAAAACTCTGAACAAAAAGAGGGACCCGTTAGGATATTACTGCTGGAAAAAAAAAAAAAATCAAAGTACCACAATTATGTGTTTGTTTGTTTTGGTTTGTCTTGACATCAAAATCTAACTATTAAATGGCAAAATGGCATAGAATGTTTACCCTAACTCAGGGACGTAAGTGCCCTTTTATCAGAAATGTTATCCTCCCATTATTCGTGATCATTGATAACTCTGACTATTAGGAAAGAAATCGTTAGGTCAGCTCTTTCTGTCAATAAGCCCCTCAGATTCAGGACTGTACACTGCATTTAGTCAAAACCATCTCTAGAAAAAAGACGAAGTAGGAGGTAGAGGTAAGAATGGGTCTAAGGGAAGAAACCCCTGAGAACTTACACCCCCGAGAGCGGCCACCCATTCTCCCACTTGGCACACGGAGAGTTGCTCCCCACCTGGAGAACCCCGATTTTCCCTCAAGTGCTCAGTCCAGTGGAGAGCCATTCTACTGGCAATCTCTATCCACCCAGCCCAGAGGAAAAGGTTACCGCATCATATTAACGTCTATGTATATTCTTTATATTGAAGAACATTTGAGGACATTTCATACTTTTCTTTTGTTCCCTCAATGCCCTGCCTATAGCAAGCTTTAAATATTACTTCATTCACTGAATAAACACGTGGCATAGCCTTAATAATAACAAAGTAGTAATAACAATAGCAGCTATCATTTACTAAGCACCTACTATAAAAAGCAGTGCACACATCAAGGGCATGGAATATGGCTCTGGCTGGTTTTTCTCAGTGGTTAGAGCATCTGCCCATACACGGAAGGGTCGCTAGTTTGATTCTCAGTCAAGAGCATGTACCTGGGTTGCAGGTTCGAACCCTGGTCTTAGTCAGGGTGCGTGCCAGAAGAAACCAATCAGCGTGTCTCTATCTCATCAATGTTTCTCTCTCTTTTTTCTCCCTTCCTTCCTCTCTCTCTAAAAACCAATGGAAGCCAAAACCGGTTTGGCTCAGTGGATAGAGCGTCGACCTGCAGACTCAAAGGTCCCAGGTTCGATTCTGGTCAAGGGCATGTATCTTGGTTATGGGCACATTTCCAGTAGGGGGTGTGCAAGAGGAGGCTGATCGATGTTTCTCTCTCATCGATGTTTCTAGCTCTCTATCCCTCTCTCTTCCTCTCTGTAAAAAAGTCAATAAAATATATATATATTTAAAAATAAAAGTAAAAACCAATGGAAAAAAAAATACCCTCTAGTGAGGATTAACAACAAAACAAAAAAGAAAGCATGGAATATGGATCCACACTGGCCAGGTCAGCGGTCGCCCACCGGTGGTCTGCAGAGCACTGGTGGCCCATGAGGTCCGAAAGGTTGGCGACCGCCGGACTAGGTTCAGGTCCCAGAACTACCACTTACTAGCTATATGATCTTGGCCAAACTATGTAACATGTCACCACTACTTCATTTGCAGAATGGGTAAAATAACAGGACTTACTAAAACCATCTCTAGAAAAAAGACGAAGTAGGAGGTAGAGGTAAGAATGGGTCTAAGGGAAGAAACCCCTGAGAACTTCTATCTATAGTAAGTGCTATATGAAGCCAGCTCTTTTTACCCAGAGCTGATCTGAAGGCTTTACACAGACTAACTCTACTGAATCCTTACACTACCATTTAAGGCAGAGATTCTCTCTGCCTCCTCTATCACTGACAGAACCGGAGCTTAGCAAGGTGCAGGGATGTGCTGAAGACCAAAGCTGGTGTCAGAGAGCCTGAACCGGGCAGACTGATCCAACTCATGGTCTTTGCACTATTCAGGGGCAAAGTTAGGCCAAGGATTGTCCTACACCAGCGGTTTTCAACCTTTTTCCTCTCGTGGCACACATAAACCAGTTACTAAAACTCTGTGGCACACAAAAAAAAAAAAAAATAGCTATCACTTTGATTCATTCACATAGGACAGCTATTGTTGCGTTGGTTGTTGTCATTGTTTTTAAATTTGACAACCTAAGATCAATTCCCTGACTAAACAGGTATTGCATGTTTTTAAATTCTTGCAGCATACCGGTTGAAAATCTCTGTCCTGCACTGTAAACATCCCCAAACTGAATAGGACCTAGACTCTGAAGTCCAGCTTAAATGATGGGTTGGGTTACAGTGCTAAATGTTTAATGTTTGCTTGGTGAAGAGGAGAGAAAAGGTTGTGTGTAGACCCTATGCCAGCTGTCAATCATATCAAGAACTTTGTGTCTCATTTCATGGTCATAAAGTCTCAATGTATAAGTTAGGGGAAAAGGCTCAGAGAAGTTAAGCAGCTTTACCAAAGGCACACAGTAGAGTCAGCATGTCAAATGAGGCCTCTATGACTACCTGTCCCCAAGTTTTATTGACATATAATTACCATACACCACTGTATAAGTTTAAGGTGTACAGCACAGTGTCTCAACTTACATATATGGTAAAAGGATTACCTGTCTTGATTCTTTCATAAAGACTGTCTGAGTTTTTCCTAATCCTGATTCATCCTTTCTGTAGACATTATCCATCTATCTTCAGTCCCATATTTGTTAAAAAATAAATGTTCTCAAGTCAAACAAAATTCCAAGTTGCTTACTAGTTTTCTTTTGAAGAAAACTAATGAACAAACCAGGAGAAACAAAAAATAATAGCTCTCTACTATGGTACTCTCCTGTTACCTGTTTTCAATTGACAACTAATTACCCAGGACAGCACACAGAGGTGTCATTCAAAAGCATTTACTGAGCCCTTGCTGGTGTGGCTCAGCTGGCTGGAGGTCATTGGTTCAATTCCCGGTCAGGGCACATGCTGGGGTTTAGGGCTTGATCCCTGGTAGGGAGTGTGCAGAAGGCAGCTGATGGATGTTTCCCTCTCACATGGATGCTTCTCTCTCTCTCCCCATCTCCCTTTCTCTCTAAAAATCAATTTAAAATTTTTATTGAATGGATGAATGAGCTCTCTTCTTTACATTTACTTCAAAAAAGGACAGTTCCTATAAATGTGAATGCAGTACTGGCTCCAGTCTCCTCTTTCTAGCTCTAGTCTCCGTCAGATACATTTGACATTTGTTTGCCCTGGAAACCATCACTAAAATTTATTTCTATTCTAGCGCAACACATCCAAAGGGCGGCAGGGGTAGGGGATGGGGGATTCCCTGTGTGGAGTAGTTTTTCTTTTTTTTTAAATATATTTTATTGATTTTTATAGAGAGGAAGGGAGAGAGATAGAGAGCTAGAAAGTTCGATGAGAGAGAAACATCGACCAGCTGCCTCTTGCACACCTCCTACCAGGGATGTGCCTGCAACCAATGTACATGCCCTTGACCGGAATCGAACCTGGGACCTTTCAGTTCACAGACCGATGCTCTACCACTAAGCCAAACTGGCTTCGGCGTGGAGTAGTTTTTCATTTGCTTCTGCAAAAGTACCCCAGGGACAGTTTCTGCCCAACTTTTTATGTAGGATAGGGGTGTTGAACTCAATCAGAGAAGGGGCCAAAATCTAAAATCCAGCCTAAATCGCGGGCCGAATGGTTTACTGAACAGTCATAAACTGTCATTGTGATGGAAATGCAGCGGAGTGCAGTGATGACAGCGCTGTGCGGGCCACATTGCAAGGCCTGGCGGGACGGATTTGGCCCGCGGGCCTTGTGTTTGACACATGTGATAGGAGCCAAAGCCACAGAGGGGTGTAAAATGGAACTGCAAAGCCCATGGTGAAGGCAAACATAGGCATCTCTGAATCACCCTCCAATCCCGAGCCAGCTGAGCAGATAGGCCTTGTTGTTGCCGTGTGTATGTGTGTGTGTGTGTGTGTGTGTGTGTGTGTGTGTGTGAGACTTATGGGTTTTCTGTTTTACCATTTCACTGAGATCGTTTTACTGGTCCTGATTTCAGACTGGGACACAATGTGGTAAGCTTGGTGGTGGGGAAGCCCTCAGTTCCAACTCTTTACCTTGTTGGGTCTCATCTTCTATCCCCATGTGGGACTAAAGAGTGGATTCAGCCCGACCTGTGTGGCTCGGTGGTTGAGCATTGACCCAGAACCAGGGGGTCATGATTCAATTTCCGGTCAGGGCACAAGCCCAGGTTGCAGGCTCGATTCCTGGTGTGGGGTGTGCAGGAGGCAGCCGCTCACTGATTCTCTCCCATCACTGTTTGTATCTCTCTCCCTCTCCCTTCCTCTGTGAAATCAATAAAAATATATTTTAAAAATATTACAGAGTGGATACAACTGCCAATTTGGTTTTTAGTTCCCTTTTCTTTTTCTGGCTCCTGGAAATTTCCCTTACCTTCCAATGTGTTGGTTATAAATTTAAAAGAATGTCTATTATATTTTAAGCAGAATTTCTGGGAGTTTTGTGGCAGAAGTATTTGTCAGATTATCTAGCCCCTGAGTTTCCAGAATTGAAAGGCTGTGCTGTCTGCCTCACGCCTCCGAAACAAGTCTGCTTCTTCCCGCAGGGCGGCTTGTTCATGCTCCTACAAGGTCTCCCGCTCTCACCCACAGCGTCCTCCAGTGCACAATCCCACCTGGTCCTGGATATCATTCTAAAGAGCAGGTCTGGGCTGGTCATCCTGCTCCTTAAAACTCCCGGAGGCTGCTCATGCCCTCAGGATGAAATCCAATTGTCCAGTGTGATCTCCTCCACGATCTGGCACAATGTACACTGGTAGCCACCGGGTTACTTCCTGTTCTCAAAGCTGTCCCGCTCTCCACCCCCAACCCCCACCCCCACCCCATCCCTTCTACATGACGTTCCTCTTCTGGGAAGCCTGCTCCCATCTCTTACCTGCCACCTAGTCCCTCAGGTAGCCACTTATGTATTACTTCTTCTGGGACCTTTCCTTCACCTCCTCCTCCTCCACCCTCATACAGGACGGATTCCCACCAGGTGGGCCCATGCCATCCTGCGATTACCCTGTCATAGCACTTGTATGCTCTACTGTAGTTGTCTGCATACTTATCTCGCTTTGCCTCTAGGATGTCTTAGGAAGTAAATTCCATGACCAGAAAAACCAGTAGGTATTCTTTAAACAAATGAAGCATAATTAAGATGAAGTTTCATTACACTTAATCATAGCATATTTACAAGACTTGGTTTAAGTCTGTCTAAGTTGCAATGAGACCATAAACATGATGGGGGAGAAGGGGAGGACTAAATTTGAGCATTAGTTTATCATGTTTTAAATTAATAGTATTCTCTTCACAGTTTTCTCTTTCCAATAAATATACAGTTTTGGGTTCAAGAAGAACATAATATTGTTCTTTAACAATATAAAAATATATGTTCAAGAAGAACATAAAGTTCATATTTTTTATAAACATCTCGATTACAGGAAACTAGAGCTGATATCTACCACAGGTGGATATTTGAATGAACACATTTTAAATAACTGATTGTTCAAGCAAATACTTCAGCATTTCTGCAGTGATTTTATATAAAAATGAGCAATAATGCCAGCCAGTGTGGCTCAGTTGTGGAACATGGACCTGTGAACCAGAAGGTCAGGGTTCAGTTCCCAGTCAGGGCACATGCCCAGGTTGCAGGCTTGGTTCCCAGTGGGAACGTGCAGGTCGGTTCTTTCAATAAGGTATCTGCTGACCCTTTAAGAGAATGAGGCAAGCATCTGGAAAGAATACTTGCCTCATTCTTAAATTTAGTCCTCCCCTTCTCCCCCATCATGTTTATGGTCATTGCAATTTAAAAAATATATATTTTTTTATTGATTTCAGAGAGGAAGGGAGAGGGAGAGAGAGATAGAAACATCAATGATGAGAATCACTGAATGACTGCCTCCTGCACATTCCCACTGGGAACCAAGCCTGCAATCTGGGCATGTGCCCTGACTGGGAACTGAACCCTGACCTTCTGGTTCACAGGTCCGTGTTCCACCACTGACCCACACTGGCTGGCATTATTGCTCATTTTTTTATAAAATCACTGCAGAAATGCTGAAGTATTTGCTTGAACAATCAGTTATTTAAAATTTGTTCATTCAAATATCCACCTGTGGTAGATATCAGCTCTAGTTTCCTGTAATCGAGATGTTTATAAAAAAAAATATGAACTTTATGTTCTTCTTGAACATATAGTTACCCAAAACTATATATTTATTGGAAAGAGAAAACTGTGAAGAGAATACTATTAATTTAAAACGTGATAAACTAATGCTCATAAATGTAGGCGGTTGTTTTAACCTATGGGATTATGCCAATCAGCAGCTTATCAGACTAAAAGGGAAAATCTTAAAACGAACAAGGGTATTAAAAAGGTAGGCGATGGCCTTGGAAAGGTGAATCTGAGTCAGGTCTCTCTTACTTGTACTGCTGATGATCCTTAGTGCTTCTTGTTTTTGCCATGAACCTTTCTGCTAACTTCTCTAGGTTCCGAGAATATTCCGTCTCGATTTCGGCTTTTTTCCGGAAGAAATCTTGCAGGTCCTGCAGAAGCTGAACTCGCATCTCTGTCTGCTGCTCCAGGCATTTTTGTTGTTCTACCAGTTGAGCTCGAATCTCTAAAGAGAGAAGAGAACCCATTTGATGATGTCACGGATATTACTGAGGTAGGCTGGTATGTGCAAGATACAAGTAATTAATTAATCCTGTCGTGCATTTAGCTCTGAATTGGACCTCTATGAGACTTGCTGTGTCCAGGTCGGTTCTTTCAATAACGTATCTGCTGACCCTTTAAGAGAATGAGGCAAGCATCTGGAAAGAATATAATAAAATTAGAACAGGAACATGGGTTACATTTGCAATGCCACAAACACGCAAGGAGTCATGAGGGGGGAAATTTAAAGCCTTTCAGATAACAATTCGTAACATGTGAGATCTTCGGGTAGCTGAGCACACTGTAATTTTTTCAGCAGCATTTTACCTCAACCACCCCTCCTGAGTTTGAATGGCAGAGAAGTGATCATCATTTCTCCCAGACGCTGAACCACCACACACTTGCCAGTTGGCACGCACCGACACTGACATCTGGTAATTTTTATTTAGTGCATAAATTTCCAGTTTGTAAAACACATAGCTTCAGGGTTTGTAGGGATGCTGTGCCTAAAAATAATTTCTCTCTCTACATCCAAATCATTCATAACGGGGCAATCCTCGGATCCCGCTTTATTATTGCATTCGTCAAGGGCTCTTCACTGTTACACAGTGTTCAGACGCACAGCCTTCTTGACACATAATCCTAAAATGAATCTTTTGACACTTTTGATACATCAGGAACACGAAGGTTGGTCATTTAGTGATTTAGCAAGAAGACAATGGCAGAAATGTGTCGTGTAAAACTATCTGTCAATGATTGCAACAATGAAGCATGTGTTTTGGAAAATGAGATACAGTAACTAATAACGACTGATTTGTTTTTGTTCTAAGATCCAGGGCTGGCCTCCAAAGATAAGAATACTCATTCTGGAAAGACTTCATTTCATCTTTCCCAGTGAGAGCTGAGTTTAATTCAGTGGAGTTAATAAAAACCCGTGTCCAAATAACACCTCCTCGATGTCTATCATTTTTAAATAGAGAATGACTGAGCTGATGGTATATATGTGCACATTTGCCCATGTTTAATCAAGCTCATTAACAGCAGGGCAGTCAAGTTCTGAATAGGGAGTTGGAAAATTTGCCCAATTTATTAATAACTAATATTCATGAAATACGACTTGACATTTTATTAAAGTTCCATACTCGTCTATCCCCATTTTACAAATACTAGAAGCTGACCTTTAGGGGGGCTAACGATACTACCTCAGGACTTCAGCTAGTAAGTGGCGCCCTAGGACCTCTAACCTGGTCTGTCAGTCAGATGAAGAGAACATTTCTGCCCGCCTCCCACCCATGCAACCTGCCTGGAGCAGCTGTGGTGCGCCAGGCCTACATCCTGGCAGAGAAGACACAATAATTATGAAGCAAGTCTCTACCCCAATCAGGTTATGTTCCAGGCAACGCTGTTTCATGGGAACCTTGGCGGGAGATGGGGGAGTATTTCTCACGTGTCCTCTCTTAGCTTCTCCACGTCTAGTTTGGGGGGTCCTCTTATTCATCTCATGGAAGTGTGGTGAAGACATTATTACAGGCTTTTAACTACTGCGAACAGCATCTGGTTTTTAGTCAATCAAAGTAAGTGTTTTTCAATACATTATTATAATCACGTCTGCCAAGCTCCTTCACCCACGGACACAGAACTATTTTTGCTTCATAAAGGAAAAGAATAAGAAAAAAAAATAAAAGGTAGGAGAATTTCTCATTCAGGAATCCCAGCAAGGCTTTCAAGGTTTAGTTATTTTAGCACATCTTGCTGTGCTAAGAGAAAATAAATCCATTGGCTTAGGCTGTCAACTAGTTCTGTGAGTGTGTGTGTGTGTGTGTGTGTGTGTTCATGTTTAAGCTGCCTTAGAGCCAAATAAGAAATAACAGGGGCTGAGAGGTCAGATCTCAGCAGAAGTACACAAAAACTAAATGGCTTCCTTCTTCTGTCTTAAATTCTGAGAGAGTCTCTGACGTGCTGCCTTCGGGGTTCAAAATCAAGAACTGGGCAGCTCTGAGAAGGAAGAATGTCTGCAAGCAGGTTAAACCTCACCCTCATTCTGCAGGGAGAGCCTTTTTACTCCATGGGAGTATGTGCAATAGTGAACATGTGGAGGGGCAGGTCTCAGAATCACGCTGAGAGAAAATAAAATACGCTCCCCAAACTGGAGAAGGAGAATGAAGTTGAGTACATCTTTCATTTAGGAAAAGTTCAGGACGAGTGACCGAAAAGACCATAAGGAAAAATAATCAATATGAAAGTGCTGCCATCAAAATGCCTCGTTAGGAAGAGAAAAACTTGGGATTCCTTACACCACACCAGAGCCACGAGGCAGCGCAGTGCAGTAGGTCACCTCCCTGCACACACAGTGCGGCGTTATGAGAACGACCTCACTAGAGCTGAGCTAACCCAATGACAGCACGAAAGGGTTTAAAAGTAAACGAGATTGTAGTAGAGTCGGCGATATGGGAGAGGAGTGAACTGACTGTTCTCGGGGAAAGGGGGAGTGGTGGGGGGAGGAAGAGACTGAACATAATCTGTGCACCTATGGATGAGGACAATGGGGGGTGGGGAGGGGGCAGAGGGTGGGGTGGGAACCTGGTGGAGGGGGGAAGAAATGAGGAACCTTTGTAATAATATGAACAATAAAGATTGATTAAAAAAAAAAAAAGTAAACGAGTAAAGTCAGTCAATGGTCACGGAAGTGTCGGTCCACTGCTCAGCACGTACCGAAGCAGCCGTGGCGCACCATGGATCCCCGCGCTGGGACCACTGGGGCCACAGAGCATCGCACCTCTGTCAGCCCAGGGACCACAGAGTCATTAGGGCTACAATGGAAGAAAGCATCACAGTTAGTGGTGACTTCTGGAAAAACCTGTGAGCCTCTTTCTGTGGAAGGAACCTCAGTTTTCCTCCCTCCAACAGATTTAAGGACACTCTTGCCGGGCCTACTCGATTAGCTTTCTTGGATTCATATTGACCTGCATCTGTTTTTTCAGACACAAGGTTCGAGTTAATTTAGTTGACCAAGCCCTTGTTGCATTCCTATTTTGTGTTAGGCAGAGCCCTAGGCACCGGAGTTACAAAAATTTGTAAGATGCAGCTTCCTTCAGTGGGGAAGGCACATCCTCAGCTGATAGTATCAGCAGGCTGAGCTCAGTGCAGCGATAAAGGGATGCCCCAGGAAGTTAGGAAAGAGGAGCTGCCCAGACAGTGGACAAGCTTGAAAGACCCGATGGCCCAGGAGATAAGTTACAACGTACACAGCTGTAACCACCAAGAGAGTGGAATACAACCCATAGCGTGGAGACGATGATTGCAAATCATGCATCTAATAAGCAACATGTGCCCAGAATAAGAAAAAAATGGATCCATCTGAAATAAGGTGTTGGAGGTGAGCTCTGTGGATCCCATAGACAGCCAGAAAGATAAGCACGTGGGCCCTGGAGCGAACGAAGCCTGGAGGCAGACACGACCAAACTGAAGCTGCTCTGGTCTGGGCATGGCAGGAGAGGGCGGGGTTCTTTGGGAAAGGCAATGCTGGGAAGAACACAAGGTCGTAGGAAAAGAGGAAGATCGGTTCTGAGAGGGGCAGACTCCATACAAGAAGCCACAGGCGTGAATGTACGGAGCTGGGCAGGGCCGGTGAGGACAGGACGTTATGGGCATCTGTCACCACAGTGCCACCAGAGGCAGAGCCGACTCAATGGCATGTAACACACAGGATATATATAAACCTCTTACCTAATACAGATGACCCAACTTAGAAAGCAGGCAAAGGCTCTCAACAAGAGCCATTTCTCCCAAGAAGATATACAGACAGCCAACAGCACCGGAAAAGTGGCTACACAGCACTGCCGTCAGGAAGATGCAAACCAAACGCACAGTGAGGTAGCCTATCACCTCCGTGAGGATGATGGCCATCATCAACAAGACAGGCGGGAACAAGGGTTGGCGAGGATGCAAAGACAGTGGAACCCGCATTCATTTACGGCTGGTGGGAATGTACAACGGTGCCGCCCCTTTGGAAAGCAATCTGGCAGTTCCTTAAAAGGTGATTGTTGGGTTAATATAGACTCAGCAAATCCATGGAAAATGAAACCATATCTTCTCACAAAAACGTGTATACAAACATTTACAGCAGCATTATTCACACCAGCTGAGAAGTGGGGGAAAAACTAACTGTCCATCAACTAGTGAAGAGATTTTTAAAAAATGTGGCTATAAAAAGAAATGAAGTACTGATTCATGGTACAGCACGAACTAACTTTGAAAATATAAGCACAGTGAATGAAGCTAATCACAAAAGACCACAGTGATTCCCTTAGTGTGAAATGCCTAGAATATACGAATCCAGAGAAACAGAAAGCAGATTAGCTGTTGACCAGAGCTGATGGAATTGGGGGAGATGGGAGGTGATTGCTAAGGGTGCGAGGTTTCTTTTCGGGATGATGAAGATGTTCTCAAACTGACTGTGGTGGTGGCTATTAAACTGTCAATGTACTACAATCCAGGGAACTGCAAGTTGGAAGATATATATTATATCTCAATACAGAAGTAATATAGAGAAATACTGTAGTATCACAATTCCATAAAATTTCAGCTTTTGGGACATTTCTGAGAATGATACTAGTAACCACAAAATAACTCCTCATATTCCCATGGCTAGTACTTTTCAGGCTTTTATCAAATTAGACGATGCATGAGGCAAGCACTTTAAAATGGTGTCTTCATAAAATGGCTCTTGCATCATCATTATTATAATATTTAACTAGAGGCCCGTGGCAAGAAGATTCATGCAATAGGCCTTCCTTCCCCTGGCTGCTGGCACCAGTTTTCCTCCGGCACTTGGGACCTGGGCCGCAGTGGAGTCAAACCTTCAGTCTCAGGCTTGGCTCCAGTGGCAGTCGAGCCTTCAGTCTTTGCTCCATGTCTGCATATGCAAATTAATCTGCCATTTTGTTGAGTTAATTTGTATACTCA